TCTCTCTCTCTCTCTCTCTCTCTCTCTCTCTCTCTCTCTCTCTCTCTCTCTCTCTCTCTCTCTCTCTCTCTCTCTCTCTCACACACACACACACACACACACACACACACACACACACACACACGCACGCACGCACGCACGCACGCACACACACACACACGCACGCACGCACACACACACGCACACGCACGCACGCACGCACGCACGCACGCACACGCGCACACATACACACACTGAAATATCTTGCATTCGAACGAGGCATGTTGTCATTCTTTTGGCCTATTTTATATATGTATTTTCTATGCATACAACTTTTTAAATGATCGAAGCATTATAGAACATCGAAATTCATAAATTTTAAGGACCAACGGGCTCCTCCCAAGATGTATCAATTAATTGAGAAATAAAGGTGTAAAGAGTGAACGAAAATACGTAATCAAAAAGTAAAGTGTTTTTTTTTTTTACTCCCTGAATAGATAGCTTAGAATCAACGCAGTCGATTACTTAGCTTAGATAAAATTTGAAGAACAAGAAATATTCACTCTGATTGAAAATAAGAATCCTCTCCCTCGAATATGCATTATCATTAGATTAAACTGTAAAGTGAAACCTTATCTACCTCGTCATCGTTCTATTTATATAAAAATCGAAGTGGGATGGAAGTAGGTAATTTTATGAAAAAAAAAGTGGGGAGGGGGGGAGAGAAATCTTTTAGGATATATCGGACGTTGCGGTAGAATGGCGTCGCAACAACCCTACAAGGGCAATACATCGTCGTAGTCGCACGTGGGGGAGTTTGTAAAATCCACTTAAATCCGGCGTGATTTAGTTGGGCACGCGGCCTCTGAGCTGAATAGCGACGTAGCCTTTCCCAGTAAGTAACAGAACCTCGGGCTTTTTAGACTGATAGGAACGGTTAAAAAGCCATTCACCGCACCGAACCACCGCTACTTACTTATACCACCACCACACTGATAAATATATATATATATATATATACGCGACACCTATGTTCGGCTACGGCCCTCGTTGTAAACTTATTTTTCTATATCGCGAGAAACTGCATTTTAAGGATTTATCCGGTAAGCTTTTAACGGAATGTAATTACGCGAGGCACTCCTGTGGCGCCCTCCTTTGCTCAAAATGGAGGAGGCGCGTTCGAGATCGCAAGATCGACGAGAGATAATTTTTATCGAAATACGTATGTCTCGGTCGAGAGAAAGAATATTATCTTGAAAGTTATTACACAGTGGGAGGAGTTCGTACGAGTTTTGTGGTAAAATAAGCGATTGCTTGATGTTAACCTCGACTTTTTTTTTCTTTCTACTAAAATTCATCGGATACATTGTAATGTAAAATATTACGAGAGACGGTTATCAGTGTAATTACGTTGTTAAAAAGTTTTAAATGAATTTTTTTTCAGGTCAAATAACTCCAGAACCGTTGCCAGAATTTTTAGCACCTTTGGAGAATCACACGGTGATCCAGGGCCGTGACATCTTCTTCACTTGTGTCGTGAATAATCTACATTCGTACAAGGTAGTTTGCGCTTGTTTATTTGAGGAAAAAGAGAGAAATAATCAAATGTGATCGCCTTGTTAAAGAGATTTCGATATCGCGTATCGTGTGCGCGACACGAGAAAAATTTTGTGTTAGCATCGAATATGATCGAAAATACGAACGAAGCTGCTATTCATATCGTATACGAAAGAGAAATTTATCGCATTATTGTTATCCATTAAAAAATAACCAGTAAAAATTTTTTACCACAGTTTGTTGTATGTCTTTCTCAGGTGGCTTGGATGAAGTCAGATTCTCGAGCAATTTTGGCAATACATACACATTTAATAGCGCATAATCCAAGACTCTCGGTTACTCATAATGGACATAACACGTGGAAATTGCACGTATCGAATGTTCAAAAAAATGATTCCGGTGCTTACATGTGCCAAATCAACACGGAGCCTATGCGAAGTCAGGTGAGTGAAATTTAAAAAAATTATATTTATGTTCGATAGGAGGTGATATTAGAAACAATATTTGCCATTTTTTTGTGTTGTGGCTCTCTTGTGAGATTCACTTGATCAATCTTCCTTCTCACATTTTTTTAAAGGAGAGAAAGATATAAAAAAAATTTTCCACATTTGCGGAATAATCAATGAAAATGACAGCAATGATTGCTTTCGAGAATCGTGTAATAATAACTTTAACTTGAAAATTTGAATTATTCTATTTCTAGAACGGATATGTGGAAGTGGTGATACCACCGGATATAATAGACGATAAATCTGCCGAAGGTATGGTAACTCACGAAGGTGGTGAAATAAGTTAAAATGCGTTGCAACCGGTTCACCGGAACCTATCGTCACATGGAAACGAGAAGATGGACGGAATATCATTCTTCGAGAAGATGGGCAAAAACAATGTAAGATGTTTTTCGGTTTTAATAATATCGTTATAAACAGATATGATGTAAATTATTAAACGAAATATTAACAAATAGCAATGTAAAAGTTCATGATATTATTTTACGTAGATATATTTCATTTTTAAATGACAATTTTAATTTTATCTTTCAGCATTAAAAACTTACGTAGGTGAAACTTTAGAATTAACTGGAGTTCTTCGACAAGAAATGGGCACATATCTTTGCATAGCCAGCAACAATGTACCTCCAACAGTCAGCAAACGTTACTCTGTACAAGTTCACTGTACGTATTTATATAAATTTTAATTAGAAAATCACGAGTAAAAGCAAAATTTTTAGTAATTTATAAATTGTTCTAATTATTTATGTAACGTTATTATATTTGAACAAATAATATACGTTTATTATATATCAGAAAAATAGTAGACTTGTAATCTAGAGAGTAGTATAAGTCTGTTATACAAGTAGACAAGTAGTATAAGTCCATTATTGTTAGATAGTTGTATCGTTAAGTAGTATAGATGTATCATGATCAAGCTAGTAGTGGATACACGTTATAGTCAGACATCGTCGAGTATCACGTATATCTTATTCTCTTTATGATAAAATACAACAATATAGGATTTTTTATTACAGTTTCACCTGTTATAAAAGTAACAAATCAGTTAGTAGCAGCGCCAATCAACAGTGATGTTGTTCTTCAATGCCACGTTGAAGCTTCCCCACAAGCACTGAATACTTGGCATCAAAATACAGGTAAATAAATGTTCATTGATGTCTTTGCAACTTTTGTTTATACTTTGTTTATAAATATTTTAACATTAATCGAATTCATTAATCGAATTTTAACTAATTAGGCACATAATACAAATTAATATATTACAAGTGAATCAATTTTATTACAAATATATATATATATAATATACGAGTATAAGGTTAAGTTACTATTCGATGCTCGGTTTTGATGCACTAATAAGAAGGTAAGAGCGGTTACGAAATACCGAATAGAATTTGTATTGAACTCGCGAATTCTATAAGGTTAACTATTGATCCGAAAAGGAACTTTAGCCAGATTTCATTAGACAGCAACTGACTTTTAAGGAACGTGACACAAACATTGCTATTTTGTTCAAAATACGGGCGTCTAAAATCGATTATGTATAGTATATAACAATATGAACGAGAGCGTGCATTGAAAATTGCATGCAAGAAATATCTTTAATTATTTCAGTAGAACCATTATTATGAAAAATATTGTAATATTCTTATTTTTGCGCAGGTGAAAAATTACTTCCCAGTGAAAAATATACAATGTCGGAATATGCATTGAACGAATATTCTTGGCAAATGAATCTTACCGTTAATTCTTTAGAGAAAAAAGATTTTGGAGAGTATGTTTGCTCATCCGTAAATGCTCTTGGAAAAGCTGATGGCATTGTTCGTTTACAAGGTAAGTATCGCTTTAAGAATTCCAGGGATGTTGCGTTTTCTTGCGTTTATTTACCAATAGTACAAATGTTTCTTCGTATACATTCCTATTTAATATTTGATTTGATTTAATCGAATGTAAATTAAAATTCCAATAATATTAACTTTGTGATCGCTTAAAAATTATAAGTTTAAATTGAAATAAATTTCATATTGTATAATATTGTTGCATAGATATAAAATGAAATTGTTTCTAAAAATTTGATACGCAACTATTTCAAATGATAATAATGAATTTAATTATAAAAAACAAAATAGAATTAACAATAACTTTTCGGTATAAGATACCATTGTCGTATAATATAGGTAATTAATTCTTCTTTCGATTTAGAATTACATCTTGTTGCAAAAACAACACCTGGCCCTTTCATAAAAATGACCGATCTGAAACCTCGAAAGAAACTTATATCGAAAGGGAAAAAAAAGAGTAGTAATAACAACGGCAGGAGGATGCATATAGGAGGTTTCGAAGAATTTGATTCTCATGGACACGATGAAGATCTTAGTACTACGCAAATTATGGCCGGTAGTACGCTTCAAGAAGGCCATAGAACAGAAAGGCCATTGATATCGCCATCGCTACCTCCACCTTGGTTAAATATTAACACTGCCAATTCGAGGAATTGTTTGGAACAGATCACGCTATTTTTATTAATCATAAGTATGATATTTATACTTTAAAATATGCGTTATTGAAAGAAAGAAATGTAACAACGAAATTAATATTGACAAAGAATTAAAACGATTCGGGAATAAAGTAGGAAATAATAATTATATTTGATTAATTTCTATACAACTAGAAGAATTTTTTTATATTAAAATAAGAAATGTGTGGTTGCTTTTTGTGACAAAGACGAACAATTTAATAATTTATATTTATTTAATTATTATATTTATTTGCGACTATTCGAGACAAATTTGGAATTCGTTTATACAATTTGAGAATTTCTTATAATTATCGTTATAAGTTTGATATTTTGATTAAATCTTTAATAATTCTTTTCCGTAAATCATTATCTTAAGAACGATAATATATTAATACAAAGAGCAAGGTTTAACGTATCTTAATAAGTTAAACTTATAAGCTTTAAAATGTTCCCGATCGTTTAAAAAAAGTCATTGATTAAATGATAGTAATTAATTGCTTTATAAAAGTGATTAGTCACCAACGTTTACAATAAAATTAAAGTTTAGAAAGAACAGTCAATGAAGATTTAATTCTTATGGAGACAAAAAAAATAATAGGTCTTCCTTCATTTGACGAAACAAAGATGAATATATATATATATATATATATATACATATTTATATATACATTTAGATTTAATGAGATATGCGGCGCGACCAACATGAGAAGGTTTCTCTTAACGATGTAAATATTTACATGAATAGTCTATGAATTTAAATTGACACACTAAGTATTAGATTCCAATTACGACGAAAAATATTACATAAATTTTAGATAATTTGTAATTTAAGAAAGTCTTCATATCAAAGTAAATTTTGTCGATCTAATATGGATTTTAAACATTTAAAATATATATATATAAAATAATCAAATAGAAATACACCTATATCTCGCTATACAACCGCTCTTTATACGGCTTTCGCTATAGCGGTCTTTTTTAATTATGACATTTTTTCGATTTATAGCCTACAATATTTCGTTCAAAAAAAAAATGCTTCATGAACTAAAAACTATATTATTTTATAAAAAATTGGAACAGATCCAATTGAATATTTGGGTTTGGATATCAAATTAATTGATTTGTTATACGGCTTTTTGCTTTACGACCAACTTTTCCGGAATGTATCTATGTCGTAAAGCGAGATATGAGTGTACATAGTTACATTTATGTTAAAAAAATCTTTAAGTCTTTTATATTTTTTTTCTTATCTTTTTATGAAAAATCAATTCCTCTCTGATTATACATAATTTTATTCCATATATATATATATCATAAACTTATATTTTATATTTTACTAATATTTTATTTATACTTATTTATATTATTTTATTACGTATACATTTTATTCTGCATATCATATATGGGAGCTAAACATAAAAATTACAATTAAAATCTCTGTATGAAGACTTTTTAAAAATATTCTTACTGCGTAATAAATTTTTATATTTTCAATCAATATGAAAACATGAAACATATATAGTCTATTGTAGTCATTTATGATGATTTATGTAACGTATAAATTTCATTACGATAAAATGCAGTACTGAACACTATCATTTTTGGAATATTTTGTTAAATAAAAAATTATAATGGTTTCGCGACGCGACTAGTACATATCTCAAATTTTATGTCTAATCAAAGAGATGCAAAAATAGTTGTTAGAAAATTATATCATAATTTTTTATTCCATATATCATCTTTTATTAAAAAAATTCTAACTTTTAATCAAAATTAAAAATCAAATCAATTTAATATTCGCAAGATTTTTGAATGATTTTTTTTAATGATTTTCAAAGGATAAACATTAACATTATAAATCAATATTTATATCTTTACAATTTTAATGTACTTGATTAAATCTCTAATTGATATTACTTTTGCATCTCTTATGCTTTTATCTGCATTTCAATTTATATAAATCTTGTGCTTTACATAAGTATTGTTACTGAAATGCAAATACAAATTTAATATATCTTAGTAAGTAATAATAATAATAATAATAATAAAAAGAATAAATCATTAAGTTAGATATTACTGTATTTTGTACAATAGTAGTCAAAGGAATTGGTATTAAAATTTTACTTGTGTATATAATTTGATCTCATCAGTAATATTTTTTAATATTGTTAAGATAAATGTTTCTAAATTTTTTAGAAATATTGTAAATGTGCACTATGCAACTATTTGTAAAAAACTATATAAAATTATTTTTAAAATATTAAAATTAAACTAATTATTTTTAAAATATAAATTAAAACAAATTTATTAAAAATTATTTTTGTATATTAAAAAGAATATGATGTTTAATTTATAATATGAAAACAATACATTTAAATATAAAACATATTTTTTAACAGAAAAATAATTCTAAAATGATCAAAGATCTTGAATTTTTTCTCCCTTCCTTTTTCTTTTCTTTTAATAAAAAATCAGAGATATTAATCAGAGATATTAAATTTGTTTAATATCTTATTTTATTGTGATAATTTCATAAACCATAATAAATGACTTTTATATATATATATAAATATATAATAATTTTATATAAATATATAATAAAAATCAATATAAAGGGATTTGTAACTTAGTTGCATAATGTACAATATATGAATTCTGAATTATGTATTAAAATATCTTCTGATCAAAATATATATCACAAATCTGCATCTTCCATACATTTTGTATAGTATTTTCATACAAAATATTCTTCACTTAACAGCAAAACAAATAACTCTTTCTATTGAAATTATAATAATATATCTATTACAGTATGTTTTAAAATTTTTATATTTTGTTTACAATATATATGATATCACTTTATATACATTTCATATTTATAATTATATAATTTAAAGTTAATTGAAGTTAATTAAAGAAATAGAATTGATATATCTATTTCAAAATATTAATGACATATTTAAAAAAAAATTTTTGTTATTATATTAAGTTTGCAATTATTAAATACTATTTCTACTTTAAAATAACTTTAAAATCATTATAATTTATATAAATAGTTTTTTACTTTACGAAATAAAATGAGATATTAAAATATATTATAATCATAAGAAAGGGTTAAGTATTATATTTAAAGCTAACTTTTATACGTTGTACATAATTAATTATAAATTCATTTTAATCATTCAATAAAAAAATCTTTTAGTTAAAAAAATTACAATATAACAATATATAAAATAAAATACACGACAATAAATATGATATAATAAAACTAAACCTTAAGAACCTTCTAAGAATATAATATATATATATATTAATAAATAATAAAATATTATACTTTAAAAAATACTATATATAAATATTATTGTAATTTTTAATTTTTATGCATATATTTGATAATTTTTCATAATTTGATATGCAATCAATTATTTAATTATTTAGAACAAATTTGCTTTTTAAATCTAGTAAAACATGATATTAATATAAATATAATTTATAATATTTTTAATAACAATTTAAAAATAGTTTGTATCAATAATATAAATCAAATATTCATTATTCTCATTTATATAAAAACTAAATTCTTCGAGGGTTTTAAAGGATAAGATAAATTATTTAGTGTATTTCCTATATAAATATGTATATGAACAGCAAGGAAATATGCATAAAATATCCTTTTATTATAATATTATCATATAAGTATGATGAATTTATTGGCGGTAAATATAATATACTTATACACGGTAATATATAAATCATATAGGACCATGTTTTGTGTATGTATATATAGTTATAAAAACACATATAACAATATGTAACATGACATGTAAATATGATAGAACACGGAAAGATAGAAATATGGCATTGTTGATGAAACTTTAAATTAGAAAAAAAATTATTAGCATATGAATATAATATATATATATGATATAATAATATTAAACGAGACCTCGTTTTATATAAAATATCATTAAATGGTCTCAGAATGTAACATATTAAAATAAAAAAAATGTTTAGTCATTTGTTAGATATGTATTCTATACATAACATATACAGGAATCTCTCGTTACGTTATTCAAAAAGAATGCCACCAAATAATACAGTGTCGGTATATATAATCTGACGACCACTCTTTAAGATGTCGAGACAATTGTTGTATTTATATATGTGAAACAAAAAAATTTAATATATATATAATATATATATAATATATAAATCGACAGATTATCTTTAGATAATATAGTAAGAGAAACCCTGTAATGTTACAAATAAGTTGATGCTCATTCATTACATTTCTCACAACGAAAATTTAAAATTACTTTTAATTTCAAAATTTGATTGACTATGTTGATTGACTACACTGATTTTTTTTATAAAATTAATAATTTAATCAATTAATTTTTAAAATTTAAATATTTAACACTTTTAATCATTTTAGTCAATTAAATTCCTTGTATGAATTATAACAATCAATATCAATATTTTAAATTGATATGAAAAAAGAAAAAAATACAAAATCAATATTGTAAATTAAAAAGAAGCTAAGTATGCAAAAAATCTTTGTCTTTTTTTTAAATTCATTCATATGTATTATAATTATTGATTGAAAATCGTTTAATCATTTTGTAAATCTCATCATATAAATCTGTAATAAATTAGCATAAATATTTATTTTACGTATAAATACATATTTTATATCTTTTTATTATGTATCAATTCATAAAAAAAAAACAAATTGTTGTACTTAAATGTTTAATTTTCATTTTAATTTATACCATTATATATATACAATTATATATATTAATATTTTGTTAAAACATTAGTATAATAATTAAATATTTTACAAACATTTAAATATAAATTATATGTTTTATTAAAAATTATAAAATGAGTTTTAATAATTTTAAATATTCCATAAAAATACAATTAAATGTAAAAATTATATTTAATCTGTAAACATATATAATTAAAAATAATTATTATATACTATGACTATTCCTATGTAACAGGTGATAGATATAAATACAAGACAAACAGATTACAATTATACTATATTATTACTAAATTCATAATTGAATACAATTTGTAAAGAGACTTTTGTTCTCTCTCTTTCATTCTCTTTTTGTATATCTTATAATTTTAGTTTATTAGTTGGGTAACTTCTACTGTATATAAAATGTAATCAACAGTCTGAGATTATTATGAAGTTATACGCAGCAATAATAGTAATATAACTACTAACTTGTGTCATTAATAATCAATAAATGATTATTTATCTTTTATAAATTAAAAATATAAATAACTTGCCTTTATCAGAATGTAACAATAAAGATAATAATTAACATACAATTTAAAGATATAAGAATTATCAACGGGACAAATTGCGATAAAGAACGAGCATCGTGTACAATGTACACTGTATGATAATATTAAATTCAGACAATAAAATGTTATTATCGATGTTACTTTATGAGCAATGAATTTTGAACCTTCTTTCCTAAATTTCTGTTCTAAAGTAGTTCATTATTTTATACTTGATTTACTTATTTTCCAATTCCAATAAGTAAACATTTTCAAATATAAATCATATTTTATTTAATATTATATAAAAAATAAATACTTTATTTTGAATTTATTAAACGAGTTCGTTTAACAGTTTTTATACGTACTAAATTATTTTGTTTTTCTATTTCAAGAACATGTTTTAATTTATCAATATGATTCGAATAATCAATTTCATTTATAATAGAACTTAAATCCAATTTATCAATATTTGGTATTACTTTATGAGCATTATTTAACATGTTTTTAAATATTCCAACTTGTTTCGGTGTTAATATAGATATTGCAGTACCAGATTTACCTGCACGTCCTGTTCTTCCTGCTCTGTGAATATAACCATTTATATGTTTAGGAAGATCGTACGATATGACCAATTGTATATCTGGAATATCTACTCCTCTTGCTAATGCATCTGAACATATAAGTCTAAAAATATAACATAAAAATAAGAAAATTTTACAAAAATATTAAAATTCAATTTTTACTATAACAGTTAATAAAACATACATTTGAATCTTTCCATTTATAAATTTATTAAGTATTTTTTCGCGTTCTTTTGATACAAGTTGGGCAGAAAGTTCTCCAACTACTATATTTTTTTCAGATAAAAGCGATTGAAGTAGGATTGTTAATCTATGAGTAGTTTCTCCAGAATTTGTAAATATTAATGTTTTAGGTGTTATATCATTGTTGATTATAATATGATATAAAGCTGCTGGTTTATATTCTGTTGCACATTCTATTGCTTGTTCTTTTAATTCTTTAGGACTTGTATAACGACCTATGAAATCACCTATTCTTTATCTAAATTTACATCATCATCTTTGTCTTTCACCAAAACAGATGTAAATAATATTGGTTGAAAAAGTCCAAGGCGATTTAATTTTTCAGGATCTTGTGATAATGTTGCACTGAATAATAATTTTTGTGCTGGAACTTCGCTATTTAGAAATTAAAAAAATCATTGATTTAATATCAAATAATTATAAATAAGTTTGATAAACATTACTTTAAAAATTGTAATTACAAACTAACCAAGAACGTAAGTTAAAAAGTGTTAATCGCGGTCTTCGATAATGAGGATCAGGAAGATATTCTAACCAATCTGCAGCTTTATCTGCTTCATCAATAACAAGAAATTGAAGATTATTTAAGGAAAATCCTGGTGTTTTTAATATATGATCTATTAACCGTCCAGGTGTAGCAATTATTATATCTACAATAGATATATATTCCCCTCTGGCACCTAAATTAGAAATTATAACAAATTTATAATTAATCCATATTTTATAAACAATAGAAATAATACTTAATATATGACTAATACTTTCAACATACTTTCTTTCAGAATATTTTTTTGTTCTTCATGAAATATTGATGCACCAGAAAGTAAACCAACTTTTAAATTGTATGTGATGTATATGTAACAAAAACTTTATAAACTTGTGTAGCTAATTCTTGAACTGGTACAACAACTAAGCAACGTACTTTTGGAACTAATCGAGATTGTAATATTTGAATAATTGGTAGAACATATGCCAAAGTCTTACCTAAAAATTAAAAATATATCAAAATCCTTAAATAATATAATTTTGTTAATTAAAACTTAAATCAATAAAATTATAATATTATTACTTAATTATGTCTATAAATAATATATATTCATACCACTGCCTGTAGGAGCAGATACACATGTATCCCTTAACCACCATTTCTGTTGTCTATCTTCATTACATTTTAATAGCCAAGATATCATACTAGCTTGAACAGGAAATAATTTATTGATACCATTAGTCCTCAAAACTTCAATAAGTTTGAGATCTAAAATTGAATTTAATTCTTCTAAACTTGGACCACTATCTAAATCAACAGATATAATTCTTGGGTTAGTTAACCATTCTGGTAGTATTCTCTTAACTTCATGACTTTTATGTCTACTCTTTTCACCCAAAACTATAAAATTTGTTTGTTGTTCAGATATTTCTTCTTGTATTTCATTTATTGATTTATTAGATATTTTATTACTATCTTGATTATATGTATTTTCAGCATACAATGTCTTATCATTTTTCTCATAATTTTCTTCATTATGAATATTTTTTTTCTTTTTTTTCTTCTTTCTATGATCTTGATCTGAATTTTCTCTTTTTTGTTCATCATCATTTATTATAGAATGTTCATTCAATTTAATATTTTCTATGTAAGCTTCATTAAAATTTTGCGTTTTTTTCTTTTTTTTTTTATGATTCAATTCCTGTGGATTTTGAGAATTATTCTTTTTTATTTCATTATCATTTTTAGCAGCTCTCTCTTGTTTACGTTCTTCTATTCTTTTCAATAATTCAGTTAATTGACTCTTTTCATTTTTCGTTTCCTTTTTTTCGCCCTCATATCTATTAAAAAATAATATTTATTTAATAACCACATACATGCAGATAATAATAATATTTTATTGATAGGAAGTATTTATATAAAATTATAAAAATAATATATTAAAATAATGTAATTGATTAATTTATTCTATTTTATTATTTAATACTTAAAATTAATAACATTATATTTTATTATTTTATTCATTTACCTATTTATTACAAATAAACTCATTTAATTTATGACCACTCACGTGTTACAAACGTTTTATAGGTTATATTTATAGGTTATATAGCTAACGACTAGATTAAAGATAATTTATCTGAAAAAAAATTTTTAAATCTAAATTTTATTAAATTTTATTATATATAATATATTTAACGACAATATTTTATTATGAAACATATGTACATTATATAAAACATAATATAAACATATCTACATTTATATAAAAAAATAAATTATATATATTTATTAACAATAAAAAATAACAAATAACAAATAATATTATTTATTTACTTAATTAATATAATTAGATATATTGTAATATAGGCCGATATGATATAATAATAATATATTATCATTTTATATATTATATAATAAATTTTATTATATATATATAATAAAATATTCTATTTTTCAAATCAGTTCAATTTCATTTCTTTAAATTATTTTAAATTTCAAAATTTTCGTTTATAATTTTATAAGATATTGAAAATATAAATATATTTCATATAAATAACGATGAAATTTCAAAATTAATATTATATTTTCATATAAATTATAAATAAAAAATTAAATTTATCAAATTATTAATTGAGATCGTAGTTTTGTACATATATTAAATTAAACGTTTATATGAAACATAGAATAAATTTTAAAATAAAATCTTAATAGATAAGGAGAGCAAATAAGGAAAAAATAGAACTAAAAATTTGATTGAAATTAACATTATCTCTAAAATGCTGCAAATAAAGAACACATAAAAAAAAAGAAAATCGAGAAAAAAGGATAGAAGTAGAATAAGAATTAATTTCTAATGCTGTCTCGAATATTAAAAATATTTCTTCATAAGCAAGATAAAATAGAGTAAGAATTGAAAATTAGCGCTTATATTTCTTATGTATTTTAAAAAAATTATTTTTTGAAGAGAGTTTTTATTATTCAAAAGATGGCGTCAACGATTAATTCTTATCCTATTTATTTTAATTTGCATTGATTTTAATATTTTTATTTTTTCTCTATCATTCTTCCATTATTCTGCATTATTATATATTATTGGATTAATTACACGTTGAAATTCGATTTTATATATTATATACATAAACATATATTTAAATATATGTAAGAACTTAAATAGAGATTTCTAACGAATATTATTATTAATAATTAATAACAATTATAATCGATATATGATAGTATTATTATATATGCGAAATCGATTTACAATCGATTAGTCATAAATTTTATATGCATACTTATTAACTCTTTTTTCATAGATGTGTTGATTCATGTAAAAATTATGAATGGTTCTTATGATTCATAAGCTGATTTTAACTTTAGTTTAAATTTAATATTACAGATTAATTATTCACAAAATAATTAAAAAATTATTCTCCTGATTTTGGAAATATTAGATTTAAAAATATAAATTATTTTTATATATAAACATATTTATTTTTCATATATTTATTCATTGAAAATATTTAATTAAAAAATTTATTATTTTATAGATTTGAAAATAGAGTACAATTTAAAAAACAATAAAATTTTATAATTGTATAAAGAATATTTTACTATTATAATTCTACATTTTCCATGATTTTCATCATAAACATATTTAAATATATTTAAATGAATCAATGAAATGTGAAAATGTAAAAATTCAGTATAGAATTTATTTAAAGAGATTAGAAAATGTAATAGAAAATGAACGAATAATTTCACATTTTAATAAAAAAAAAGGATCAAAAAATAATTATTACCATAATTATTACCACCAACAAATAATTATTATGCTTCATTTTTATCTTTATTTATTAATTACAATTTGTAAGTTAAAAAACTTCAATTCATCACTCTTCAAAGAACTTTATATTCATGTATAATATCATGCAATCATTTGGCCTTGTTTCTTGAAAATCTTTTAACGAATGGGAGCTAATTCTAATTATCTTTTTTCGTTACACTATACATTCTTTATACGATACGTCATCGAATCTTTGTTACATCTCCCACCAAGAGATTCTTATCCTCCGAAATATTGTAACTAGAATCTTAGTATATTTAGTGTACCCGGCATACGTCCATGTAATCACATCACAAAATGCTTATATTTATTTGATTTTCAAAATTAGTGTAGTGATATCAAATTTAGGTTTTAATAATATTTTAATGTTTCAAATAATAACGAGAGATTTATATTTGCTTAATATTTACAAAATTAAGATATAGTTTCTTTAAATAATTAAGTAATTACCATGATATAAAATTGACATTAGTATAATAAAAGAAGTTCTATTATACAATTCCATAAAGTAAGATGAAAAATTATGTTATTTTAATATTTATAATATTGAAAATTTATAATATTGTTAAATTATAAGTATATATATATGAAAACAAAGATAAAGATTGTGATATTAACAAAATATATATATTTTTTATTTTTATAATTTATAGTAAAATTTATAGTAAATATAAAGGACAAGTTATCCAAACGTCATAAAATTGTGTACATATACTATATACTAATATTACTATTGTTTTAATTACTAAATTTGTTTGGTGTAATTTTTTGTTGTTTGCAAATCTACAAATAGTTTTTTATTTATAATACTTACATAAAATCATTATGTGAATTACCTATGCATTAAGTCATCGTTAAATCTTATTTTCTTATTACAGCAAGTACGTTCTCCATTTTACTCCCACCATTCCTTCAGAGAATATCCGCGGCAGAGCACTAGTTTGTCTCAGTTGGTGACGACAACCGAACGGTATTGCTACGTAGAGAAACCGAATAAAGTTTGTAACTGCTAAGAAAGAAGGTAAGAGCCACACCCCGAATACTTATTTCTAGATACCGATCAATACGATATTTGGAATAATAGTATCTTCACATTCTTCTTCATGTGTATAGCTCAAATAAGATTAATTGCAAATTTCCAAAGATATTTATACCGAACCAATGACATCATCATTCATCTCATAATTTTGATGGTAAAAATATGTGTTTCCGATTGCAAATAATTATAAAGATATATTTTTTTTTATATTTTAAAACATTAATTTTATATAAAAAGATAGAGAAAAATTAATTTTTAATTTAATGTTATCAATCTTAATTATTATATTAATACGAATACGAGTAACTTATGTTATTATTTTTTTCCTTAAAGTATTAGCATTGTAATATTTATATCACAAAATGATAATGATGAATATAATACGAACATGATTAAATGATAGAAATGATGATTAATAAATTTTAATTTCGATTTAATATCTAACGTAAATTTGTATTCTAGCGAATTCGAAATGTCGGCCAGTCAATATTATCACGTACAGGTAATTTAAATCTAACTTTTATAAACTTTTAAAAAGAGTAGATTAGTCTCCAGTAACCAAAATATAATCGATTTTATTTTTATTCGTTTACAGTGTACACCAACCGTTTATCCCGCTGATCCTTTTGACCCAGAACAAGATGCATCTCTCCTTCGAACCGCCATGAAAGGTTTTGGCACCGATGAACAAACGATAATCGATGTTCTTGCCCATCGTGGTATCGTGCAACGACTCGAAATAAGCGATAAATTTAAAACTATGTACGGGAAGGATCTGATCTCTGAATTGAAATCAGAACTCGGCGGTAATTTCGAAAAGGCTATTTTAGCATTGATGACACCGTTACCAGAATTCTACGCTAAAGAACTTCACGAAGCGATTTCTGGAATGGGAACAGACGAAGGTGCTCTCATCGAGGTGCTAGCATCTCTTAGCAATTATGGCATAAGAACCATATCCGCCGTCTATAAAGAACGTGAGTCATCTTCCGGTCCAACAATTTTTAATAAATACAATATTGCACGATCTTTGTAATTTATTATAGTATTATAGTTTGGAAAATTTATTATTATATTTTATTCTTGCATTTGTAAACGCATATTTTATCGATTCGATATATTATTTCTTTTTTCTTACAATTGAACATTTATATTATATTATTTAGTTGAAAATTCATTCAAGTAAAAATGGTGATTGGTATCATTTCCAATTTGATTAAAATAATTTTCACAGTCATAAAATAAACATTATGAAAATTGTATTTTATATACTCTGATGATTCATTGTGTAACCGAGATATTCATCTTGGAAATAACGTCAATGATTTACTCGTGAAACAATTCCGTGAAGAAATTAGTGGGGATAGTATATTGCGTCTACTAAACGATGTGAGAATATCAATCAAGAAATAATATATTTCAAACTTCGATACGATTTGATTATTATAATTCATACTCGTTTTATAATATTTTATAAACGAATGAATATAAAGTTATGTACAGATATATTCTTTTAATTAATGATTTCAATTTTTTTTCAATTATATTTTTGAATTAGCACAAAATTTTATAAATTTATAATGATATATTCTTACAGTATACGATACAGATTTAGAGGAAGATCTGAAGAGTGATACTTCTGGACATTTTAAGAGACTCTTAGTTTCACTTTCTTGCGTAAGTAAATTTTAATTTTTTTATATATTTTAATACGTATTCCTTCCCCCTCCTCCCCCTCTCTTTCTCTTCCTCGTACAATATTTTCGATAATAGTATTTATAAGTTTAAGATGGACAAAACGTTAATCTTCTTATTGCATTGATTGTTGTTTTTTTTTTTTGGAAATTTTTCGCTTAATCTGGACATAATGGAGAATTGAAAAAAAACATTCTCTTTGAATATAGGAATTGGACATTTCTATTTGTTGAAAATTATTTATATATTATTATAATAATGGATTAAGTTGTAAAGTAATAAACACAAATGAATTTATTATTGAAATCTAATGGAATTATACTTCAATAAATACTTCTTCTTATTTGTAATTTTTGTTCTTGTTGAAAATAAAATCTATATCTAATCGATATATGTTATTTTTAAATTGTTTTGTATAGGCCAATAGAGATGAGAATCCTGATGTTGACAGAGAAGCTGCAATTCAGGATGCTGAAAGATTACTTGCCGCGGGCGAGGAACAATGGGGAACAGACGAAAGTACTTTCAATGCTATTCTTATTACTAAAAGTTATCCTCAATTACGAAAAATTTTCGAAGAATACGAGCGTCTTGCTGGTCACAGTTTAGAAGATGCTATTAAGAGAGAATTTTCAGGATCTCTCGAAGACGGTTATCTTGCAGTTGGTAAGATCAATATTGCATGATTTTTATACAATAGATTATACATTCGATTATTTGATCGTTGTATTTATTTTTACTTACAAGTGATTACATAAGCAATTAATTTTAATGTTTTTTCTTTAGATTGTCTTTTAGAGCGAATTCAAGTATTCTCAAGTATTATAATCAAAAAATATTGTCCAAAAAATATTTAAAAATTACAGTTTTTGCATTTGTTATTTTTAGTAAAATGTGCACGAGATAAAACTGCATATTTCGCGGAAAGATTATACAAAGCAATGCGTGGATTGGGCACAGATGATTCAACATTGATACGTATAGTCATAGCTCGATCAGAAATAGATTTGGGAGATATTAAAGATGCTTATCAAAAAATCTATGGACAGTCACTCGCAGGTGACATCGATGTAAGTTAAATTTTTGATAATAATTTATATTGCAAGATATTAAATACTAGTAAAAATGTTTCTGTAATTTTTATTTTTATTGTCTATTGAATTAAAAATGAAATGTGTATTCAAATTTATCATTTAAAGGTTATTTATTATTTTAATAATCTTTCAATAATTATAATTGAAAAAAATTGTATTAATAACATTGTAAAAATCAGCGATTTTTTTACAGAAACATTTGTACATTTAAACTTAGTTTAATCAAAGCAATAATGCATAATATATAAACACATACGTGTCTTAATTTTTCGTAGCACAAGTACCTTTAACAAACTAGCTCGCTATATCTTGGCTGCCCATAATTTTCCGTAAATTTCAGGATGACTGTTCAGGAGACTACAAGAGACTATTGCTTACTCTACTTGGATGAAAGCATTTCATGTTGAACAACTTCTTTTGTTTTTAAATCATATATATATATATTAATACCAAGAATTTTCCTTCATTACATTCCGCGAAGCTATTATATATACATATGTTTTAACTTGAATATTTATTCTAAATTATATCGATAATTAGCAGGGATTACGATATTATGTGGTTAATTTTTTGGTTGGATTTGTTTAATTATTTTATCGTGGATGAGTTTGTTCGTAAAATTATTTCGTTTGCATCGAAATAAGCTGCTCTAATCTCTGTGAGACCTATTAAATGAAGATAAACGAATAATATGTTCTTTTTTTGTTATTAAAAAAAAATCACACCGAAGTTCATTAATTTATAAGGCAATTTATATGCCTATCTAACTAATTTTACTAATTAAAAATAACTTTTACATAATATGCATGCATACGTGTAATTATTCTGAATCAGTATATAAATACATTATTATTTTGCACTTGTTTATTAACATTGCTTTTAATTTTTCCCACATTCTGTTTGCATTTACAGAGTGACTGCAGTGAAGATTTTAAGCGGCTTCTGATCGCGCTTTTGAATTAAAGAAAGTTATGGAAAGGAATACATGTTTACATTAATTTTATTTATAAGAAATATGATATGGGCATCTTTAACATAGATATTAATATTCGTTTAATATAATTGTAATATATACATATACTATATATATATATATATATATTTCGTTTGCAATAAATTTGCATGTTTCTTTTATTTCTTTTTATTTATCGTGAGTGTAAACGAGAAAACCAGTATCTTTCTTTTCCAGAATGATTGCAACGCTGAGTGGAAAAGACTTCTGATCGCAATGTTGAATTAGAGATAAAAATTTATTTAATTAAAATCTTGAAATTTGTTCAAATAAAAGTCGTGATAAATAAAATGACTTTTAATCCGTAATATGTTTATTTTTATTTATTTTCCAACATCAAATGAAAAATTATTCTGTTATTTAACTATATAAAATAAAAAGAAACATTTTAAGAAGAGGACTTTGAAAACTAAAGTGATTTAAAAATATATTATCTATGTAATAATTTATTAAAAGAATTACATGTCAAATATAATTTTTTTAAAAAATATTATATTACTATTTGTATAATAATATTTTATCGTTATTTATCCGAACATTCTTATCATTACAAAATATTAAAATAAAAGTTTTGATTGGATTACCAGTAGCGTTACCATTGCCAGTAGAATGTTATTGCTAAAAGGCAATATGGCTGTGCAGTAATGTCATGTCGAGGGAAAACAAAATCGCATGATTGTGAATAAAAATAGTGTAGTAAACTTGTGACATTATGACTCATACTATAGATTATAAATAAATGAAAAAACATGTATTGCAAGAAGATATCAGATACGATTGTAGTTAATTTACGCGAGTGACGTAATGTTGAATAACATCATGTATTTCTTCAGAAATTTGTTTAGTAATGCACAAGATACTTACTCTACTTTGACGATGCAAATAGAACACCCGTTATTTTCCCCACTTCAATTTCTAAGTTCCACTACCATATTACTATTTTCTCCCACTCTTTCAACGATCAGATATTTTTCATGGCAACATTACCAACGCTGACACACAATTATAATCAGATTTTTTTTTGGCAACTGGCAACTTTAGTTTCGCGTGCTTTTGCATTATTCGTAGAAATTAAATACTTTTTATAAAGTTTGAAGATTTAGTGAAACTTTTATAATTTTATATTGTTTTATTTTATTTAAAATTCTAATATGAAGAAGGAATCAGGTAAAATAAATATTTAATATTTTTGTATCAATATAATTTTCAAAAAATCATTTTTTGAAAAATATAAGTATTTCTACTTATTATGAATATCTTCATTAATTTCTTTTTTTAATATTTATTTTAAATTTTTTTAGAATACATTGTTATATAAGAAATTAACTAATAATAAATATTTCATATTTTTTAGGCATTGATAATAATGGTACAGCTATTCCTGGTCCCAGTAAAATTAATATAAACTATGATATAAAAAATACATTGAGTAAGATATTTATTTAATATTAAATTATTTTAAATTGAAAAAAAATTTTTTTGAAGTATATAAGTGTTTCTTAAATTATGAAAAAAAAAATACTTCTTTAATCTTTTGAAAATACATTATTATATTTTATTAATAATGAATATTATATAAATAGGTATTGATAACAACATGATTTCTCCTTCTCCAAGGAAAAAATTTAGAAAGAATACATTTCGTGATGCTTGGCTTCAGGACCCTGATTTTGCATTGTGGCTACAAAAATGTGAAGATCCATATAAAGCCAGATGTACAGTTTGCAAAAAAACTCTCATAACTGGGAAAAGTACTTTACAAAAACACAATCGAACACTACTTCATAAAAGAAATATGAAAGGAAAAAAAAATGAAGAAGAAGGTGTAATGAAAAAATCATCAATCTTCATTTCTGAAAGCATAAAGGAAGCAGAACTGAGATTTTGTTTAGATATTGTAGAGCATTGTAAAAGCTTCAACTCATTTGATCATATTGTTCGAATGATTCAAACAGCATTACCTGATTCTAACATAATAAAAAATGTGTCTTTTAAAAGAACTAAAATCTCATCTATAATAAAAAATGTAATTAATAAATCTGTAATTTTAGAAACTACTAAAATATTACAAAATAAATTACTTTCAGTTTTAATAAATGAAAGCATAGACATTTCAGAAACCAAAAATTTATGTATTTTAAGTAGATACATACATGAAGGAAAAATTCAAACATATTTATTAGATTTGGTTTATATTAAGGATACTACTTCAGAACATTTATATGAATGTTTCCTACAATCATTAGAAAAACATAATCTATCTTTAAAGAATATAGTTATTGTTCCAATAGACAATACAAATATTATGTTAGGAAAATATAATTCATTAATTTCTTGCTTCTTAAAAGATAAAAAAGTTGATGTCTTCCCATGTATTTGTCATTCTATGCACTTAATTGCATGTCGTGCATGTGAATGCTTACCAACACATGTTGAAGAATTTGTATATTCAATATATTCATATTTTTCTAAAAACCCAAAACGACAGAATATTTTAGAAAGTACTCAAAATTTGATAAAAATTGCACGACAAAAAGTAATTCAGCCATCTGCAAACCGATGGTTAGCACTATTAGAATGTATAAAAAACATTTTAACTCAATGGACAGTGTTATTTTCGATATTTGCAGAAGCAAATATTGAAAAAAAATCTGTTATTGCAAAAAAAATATTTCATAATTTTAAATGTCCATATACAAAAGCGTACTTACAATTTTTAAATTACATTTTACGTTTAATTATTGATTTTAATATGCTTTTTCAAAGTTCGGAAATTCTAATTCATTGTTTATTACCGGAATGTTCTAGATTTTTGAGATGTTTAGGTAGCCATTTTATTAAACCTAATTATGTAGAAGCCCCAAATTTACATGAAATTAATATTTATGATGAAAATAACATACGTCCTTTAGAAGAAATTATCATTGGCGAGGAAGCTTTAATAACGTTAAAAGAAGCTAAAAATATTGACATAAAAGATAATAATAGAAAAATCTTAGAATTTTATATAAATATTAAAAAATTTTTTCAATGTGCTTTCGAAAATACTGTAAAAAAAATATCTTTTGGTGATGAAATTTTAAATTCTTTAGAATTTTTAAACCCAAATATTGCTTTAAATATGAAAAATCACAAAAATCAATTAAATTTAATATTAGACAAATTTAAATCTAAATTCAATATATATGATGTAAAAGATGAATGGCATTTACTACCTTTTTATTTTTCACAAGGAGAAAAAGAAAAACTATTACAATTAAATATATCCGAATTTTGGGATGAAGTGGGAAAAATATATAAATTTCAAAATATCGCAAAAGTAGCAAATTTATGTTTATCACTGCCTCATTCAAATATAGATATGGAAAGATGTTTCTCTATCATAGCAGAAATTAAAACAAGAGATAGAAATAGATTAAAACCTGAAATGATTAGTGCATTAACTAGAATTAAATTAGACTTGGAAAATAAAAATACAAATTGCATGAATTATGAAATTACTGACGAAATGTTACAATTATTTAATTCTAATATGTATAAAAGAGAATATGATTCAAAAGAATCACTTGAAATCCAATTATTAGATAAAACAGATGATAGTGCTAATTAATATAAATTTATATTATATTTATGTACATATGTATATATATACTTAGTTTTTTACATATATTATATTATAAATAAATACTTTCTCTATTTTTTATTATTTTCTTTTTTAGTGTTTCCTTTTATATTTTTTTTATATTCCTTTTATATCTAATATATATATTTATATATAATATTAAATATATTTGAGTTTATTTTATTGCAAAGAAAAAAACAAACTATATTTTTAAAACATCTGACACCAATAATATCAAAAATTAGTATCATTAATTTTCGCATAATATATAAATCATATATATATATCATGTAGATATATATGCCATTTTTTTTACAGAAAATGTGATTGTAAAATATGATGACTATAGAGAAATAAGGAATAATAAAGAATAATAAAGAAAAAATAAATGAGAATCATAAATGGTCAAATCAAACTTGAGGATTGACGACGTAACAACGCGACGGAATATTTTTATATTTACAAAGGATAGGTATACGTAATATGCATTCATACATGTACATCAAAAACAAGAAAAATTAAATATTTAAGTATCTGACATGATTTATTTCACATATACAACTATTAATACAGATGTGTCATGTTGGTGATACTTTATTTATATCTAAGCAATCGTGTAATCATGTCCCGCTTATACGATGCAATGTTCTAAATGTGAAATATAGGAAAAGAAAAACTTGTAACTAGCATTGAGACAAAAGACAGATTGTACGTAGCTGATTATGCGGTTAATTCGTAAATGGTATGCGAGGCGATTTACGACAATATATGTTTTAATTATTTTTCTACTTATCAATAAGCAAGCAAAATTTAAAACATACATAGATCACATGAAATAACCAAATCCAAATGTACGTTTTATAGCATCCCAGTAATACCTTTCCCAATTTTCTTTTGTAGATTCTTCCTCACTGTGAATAAATAATCATTTTTTATATAAAATTAAATAATTTTAAATAAAATTATTATTGTTAATTAAAATATTAAGAAATATTATATCACAATATATTTAAATAACGTAATAAATATATTTTCAATTTTTTTATTTAATTTAATTTAAAACGAAATTTATAAAATTTAAATTTTTCATGTAAATTAAATTTATAAATAGTGAATAATATGAAGCATTTCTATCTTACCTAACCGGAACTCCTACTTGTGTTAAATTAACTTCAGTATGATCACTCTTTTCAGAGATATCAATAGTCACATCACTAAAATGTCCATCAGGCCATTGTTTGCAACGCCATCTTTGAACAATCTTTGTAGGCGTTATATCAACAAAATCACCATGTATATTACCACCAAATAATTCAAATTTTCCTGCCTTCTTTGGTTCGAGTTTGACCGGTCCCTTTGTAAATGCTTGAACCATCTGAAAAAAAATGTTAGAATAAATACTGTCATTACTAATTTTAACAAATTTCATTAAAACCTGTATACATTTATTAAATACCCAAATAAAGTATAATTGAAAATTCTTTATAGCATATATATATAAAAAAGAAAATAAAATTACCAAATACAATAAAACCTAAAAAAAAAATACTACAAAATGGCATTGGACATTTTAAAAATAATTACTTCAAATAATAAAAAAAAAATTAATTTATTTAAAATAAAGACAATTTCAAATAAATTTAAAAATTTTATTTGAAAAATAAATTATTTTCAAATGATTTATTTAATAAATATTAATTATTTTAAATAATAATACAAAATAAAAATAACAAATAATAAAGTTTTTTATATATTTAGACTTAAACATAAGGTGACTTTAGGAATTAGAAATTTTTCATAGAAATATTATTTCATCACAGAAAAAACATTTTTATATTTCTATGATAAAATTAAATAATTAAATATAATAAAATTTAAATATTTAAGTAATATTATTTTTTTATATGATTAAAAATATTAACAAACAATTTTAATTATTTATGATTTTAAATTCAATTCAAAAACATTTATAATATATTCATTAAATTACATACAATTAATAAATAGACTGTGGATATTTATGCAAAATAAAATTTTTATCAATATATTTAAATAAATGGAGTTTAAATAGAGATTTGTCTAATTCATCAAATATTATAATATATACTACTTTGAATTTGTTTTTTTACATATCATATATCATATATCATATATTGAGTGCATAATTCTATAAATTTTTTTTGCACAAATTTTTTTAAATGCATAAATATTTGCAGTTTATTAATTGATTTTCATTTTAGTTATATCAAAAAACAATACTTTTTCATTATTTTGTTTCTATCATATAATAGATATATAATAATCATAATTGCCTATTATTTATGAATAATTTAATTTAATTATTTTTTTACGTAAATAAAAATTAAAAATCACCATATATGATTAGCACAATTCTTTGTTTCAATATCAATTCAATTTACAACTGTTTATTATATGCCAAGCGAAATTATCAACATAATTTAAAACCTGTAAATTTTTTCCTATAGAAAATAATTTTACAAATGATAAAATTTGCCTATAAAAATCTACCATTTTTTATAACATAAAGGATTGGATTGGGGATATCTATCAACAAATTAATAGGATAATTTTCAAGAGGATGAAATTATATTTTAAAAATGGAATAAATCAGTATTAATGTTAAAATGTAAATATCGTCCTTTTGAATACAAGAGATAAATAACAATTTCTGGACATTCAACAAAGATCAATTTTAAATATATAATTGATGAAATAATAAATGATTACAAATAACCTTGAAAAACTAACATGTTATGAATCAGTGAAGTCAGAGTGATTTTGAAATGTCAAATATACATACATTCAGACAAGATTTGAAAACATCATAAAATATTATGTTTGAAACAATGTAAGATCTATTTAGGGTACTTTTTCGAATTTTGAATAATTTAGGAAATTTGTATATATATGGAACACCCTGTATATATCCTAAATCTAAAAATAAATGACAGGCTAAATAGAACAATGTCTTCAAAAAATAAATGATTATACAAAAGGAACTTTCAATTTGATAATAACATCTTTGTATTTTAAAGTTAAATTGTTTCATAAAAAGTTTCCATGAACGCTTTAATTTTCAGAAGGAAGAAAAGAAATATAATTTTTAAATGTAATTTCAAAAGTTTATCTTATATTATGTGATATTATATAACATAATAATATTTTCTAAAGAACACCTTATATAATTCACTTACAAACAGAATATTTTTTTTATTATTAATATTTCTTTATCTTAATAGAGAAAAATGGCCAAAAAAAAGACAAGTTTGTTATTTGGTAGTTCATCTTTTACTAATATTCCAATTTAGAATTTAAATTATTTTATTTACTTAAATCATCTTAATTTTATCATTCATTAAATTCAAAATATATTTGAATATTTTATAATTTATGTCTCATAAATTATAGCAATACAAGCTAAAGATAAACAAATAAGCGTTCCTTCTGTGCACTAACCTTTTTACAAATTTGTCTTCAGTATTAGCACTCTGTACCTAAATTTCATAGTGATAGCTGAATTGTCTTGTCTCATCAGGAAACAAATAATTTTTTAGATCAGCCTATAAAATAAAACTTCATTTCAGCAGTCCAGAATTTCATTACTCCACCTATACCAGAATAAGCAAATATAAAACAATCATAAATCCCTCGACAAATACTGTATCAACAACTATATACTAATAAGTATTCTCCTATATAAAAAAGAGATAAAATATTTAATTAAATATGATACATAAGGTGTCCCAATTAAGATGTTATAAGTATATATATATTTTTATTGAAACTTTCAAAGATGATAATCTTTTGTGATTTATTTCTGTCTCATTGTAATAGATATAAAAATTTGCAGCACCTGGTGAGATAGAAGTATACATACAATATTTCTATGAACTATAGAACAATCAAATAAACGATAGAGAATAATGAAAAGTATTATTTACTTAATAAAAATTTAATTTTGCTTAAATAAAACCTTATTTTAATCTAATTCAAAACCACCATACAATAGTTATTTCCAATTCAAACTAAATTTTAATATATAAAATTGTATTTCATTATTCACAATTATTAATCAAAAATTTTCATTTTATATAAAATATATAATAATAAAAATTTTTTACTTTTATATACAACTTTTTTATATAAACTTTATTATAGATTATATAATTAGTAATTATGTTTACAAGCGCGATAGTATTTATTAAATATTTTTATTAATATTATTAATATTCAACCCATAATAATGTAACAGAAATGCGGAAACGCGAAATATTAATATAAATCTATTTTCTTTATATTCATTAATTAAACTTTTATTTCAGCACTGCATATTCCTATCAAATTAATTTTATATTATATTTAATTATTTTATAATAAATTACTAAATTACAAAAAATATAAATAATAAAGTATCTATAAATTAAAAATAAGAAAAATCTTTAAAATGTTAAAAATTCGAAAAAAAAAAAAATGATAAATAATATAAAACCAGAGTTGAATAAACAGTATTGAATAAAATATTAGAAATATATAGGATAAAATATAATAATAAATTAAAATATATAAAATTATAATTAAAAAATGTATAAAAATGTAATTATAAATAAATGTAGAAATTTACAAAAAAAAATAATAGCTTTCTCATAGAAAAAAAATTAAAAGAAAAAATAAGACAATGAATAACATAATAATTAATAATTATATTTTTCTTGTTTTAAAATTTTCGATTTATCAATTTTAACTATTTTTGATAATTCAATGAATTAATATTATGTTTTAAAGAATTTAAGTATAAAATAAATTTGAATGAATAAAGATTCTATATGCAATTTTATTATATTTTTAAATGTCTTAAATATCATGAAAAATTGCAATATTCTTACCTCCACTGACGTAAAAACGTTATAAAATTCTTCGGCCCTACATTGAAACTTCTGTTGTTGCTTAATTGTTGTCGTTGAAATTTTACATCCTAATTCTTTTTTATTATTTGATGAAACTACAGTAGAGTTCATTTGCATCTATAATAATTAATTATGTATAAGTGAAACAATAAATTTAAAACTTTTGAAAATTCTTGAATCAAACTTAATATATGTATAATATAAATCACATACTCACTTTTGCATTAAATCCAGAAGTGATATTTGAAATATTTTCTTTCACATTATCCTTTTTAGGTAAAATCATTCCAACTGTGAATTCTATTAAAAAAATTATATTAATATAAATTAAAATATTCTAAATTTTGTAAAAAAAAATTAAAAAAATTATAATATTAATTACAAATTTTTAAATTAAAAATAAAATTATTAAATTATTATTATTATCAATAAATTTACCTTCTTTTAAAGAAACTACATATTGTTTCAATTTGTCTCTAATAAATTCTTTTCCTTTTGTATGTAAAAAATGTTTTACTGCTTCTCCTTCATCTGTACTATCTTCCAAAGTAATTTCAATCTATAAATCAAGTAATTATAATTAAAAAATTAATTAGATAAACTTAAAAAACAAAACATAAATGATTATTAATAATATTTGAAGAAAATTTTCAAATAAAAATATAATATACTAGTACATTTAAGTTTTTTCTTTAAAAAAAATTACAATATATGTATATTATGTTTTATTTAATATATATTGAATTAATAACTATGAATTAAATGATTATGAAACTAAAATTATATGTAACTATATTTTTTATTAAACTTATATTTTGTAACTATGTTTCTTAAAATACTTACATCTACTTCAGAAATTTCATTTTCTTCAGAGAGATTTGGAATGTTTATTTTACCTTCAATCTTCTTATCAGATTCTTTATTGGATTTCCACTTCAAAACAATATTCCATTCATAAAAGAAAATTAATTTACCTTTCCGATTATTTGCCATTGCCTCACCTTCACATTTCTCTACTTCTGTTACTGTACAAGAAGCTAAAAATAATACAGTTTTTTTAGATTCATATTGCATATTAATTTTAACACACATGCAAATAATTAATACACACAGAGACAAATATTAAATTAGATATTAAATTACATATATTATCAATTATATATTTCTTCAAAAAATATATAAATGAATAAATAGTTTTTTATATCATAATTAATTTTATTATAATTATATGCAAATATATATTGTAAATAATTATTAAAATAGATCAATCATATTAAATTTGATTGAAATAAGATCAATTTTATTTTTATAAATTTAATATGATTTGCTTTATTATATATTATGATTTTTTCACTATTAATTATATATTTTTAATATTATATAAAATAAAAAATGCAAACCTTCATCTCCTTCCATCTTTAAATTAGTAAATAATTCTTTTATTTTTTCTTGGGACCAGGCACAAGCATTTTTCTCTGTCCTTAAAGAATATTATTATATGAAAAATATTATATTAACTTTAACAAGTAAAATACAAACATTTTTTAAAATTTTTTTTAAAAAGTAAAATATTCTACAAAAATAATTAATTTATTAAATTTAGAACATAAAAAAATAATTTTCTTTTGGACATATAATTTATATGTAAAATATTAGTTTAATTATATGTATGATATATATAAATCATATATATAATAATATAATAATTAAAATTATGTATATTTTGTCGTACCAGTGCCAATTATTTACATTAGTAGCATCAGGTCGTTCTTCAACGATCCACCTTGGATCTCCTTCACCCCATTTAGCCATTTCTTTGAAATTGAGTTATTCCTAAAACATAAAAAAAAAATCATTTAATAATAAATGACAAAATATATTTTTAAACATATGATTTCATGAAAAAATATAAAAAATAAAATTTTACAAAATAATATAAATATTAAATTAGATTTTAACAAAAACTTGTGAATAATATATTAATATAAAATATATATTATTTTTAATAAACTTAAAAATATTTTTAATATAAATTTTATTGATATTGCAATTAATACTATTTTAAAAATTTAATTCTAATTTAAACATTATATCAATTATAAACGAAATTAAGAAATATTATAAATAAGATTAAAATACAATAGAATAAACTATTAAATATTAAATAAATATATAAGTAAATTAATTCAAAATTTTTTTATTTTCGAAAAGAAATCATTTAATTTTTTATCACTTTGAAACTTAAAAAAAATAGTATAATATAAATTGAATCAAAAATATAATTAAACGTAAGAGAAACGAAACCGGAAACACAGTTCATTTTCATTTCAGTAAAAATAAGTTTAGACAACTATGAAATAAATTTATTTACAATTTATAATCGTTCTATAAACATTTTCAATTCAGACAAATATTTTATATAGTCTAAATATGATATTATTTAGTTATATTTCACTTACCAAATTTTCGAAAACTATATCGGCTAGAAGAAGATCTTGTCAATCACTCTCTATTTATATACAATTCGATTTTATTATCAATTAAAACTTATTTAAATACTTAATACATTGTTTTATAAAAAAAATTACTATTTTTTTGAAAGATGCGGAATTCGTTCAATGTAAAAATTCTTTGGAACAAATAAATAACGTGAAAACCGCAACCTTCCACATGAAACTCGAAATTACTAAGGAAACAAAGTTATAGTGGAGGGGATATAGAACCTTTCTAGAAATTTCATGAACGTATGATAATAAAATTATTTTAGATAGGAAACTAAATTTGAAAATATATTGATAATAAAAATCTAAAGATTAAACGATTATGTAATAATTAAATGATACAATTTTAAGTTTACTATATAAAATTAAATATTAATAAATGTCATGTATGTTATAAAATATATCTTATTAAAATCTTATTAAAAAAGTAAAAAATATATTAAACTTTGATTGATAAAAAAATTGAAATTTTCTTTGAAAAAATATAAATAATTAAAATATAAATAATTATAAATTACAATAATTATTATTTACTCATATTATAAAAAGTATAAATTTATTTTCAATCTTTACTTTTTATTTCTTATTTATTATTTTATATAGGACCATATTATTTCATATAGAATAATAAAAAGAATTACATATATATTCCATATATTAATACTATCAATTATAATATTTATAAATATTAATTTGTTTTTGCATTATTGCAAATATAGGTTTTGTTGAACATTCATCACAACATAACACTAAATTTCAATTAATCTTTCCTTTTAAAATATGTATATGATAAAATGAATAATAAATAAAATATCGTAATATTCGAAATTAAAATTTAAATGCAATATTAATGAATTAATTTTTATAGCGTAAAGAATATTAATTTAAAAATATATTATATAGATTTTTATTTTAATAATATAATATTTGAAAGAATATGTAGGCACATTTTTCACTTACAGATTCTTTAGTTATTTAGATATAATGTATTAATATTTTAGTTAAAATATAAGTTTTTGGATTCTAAATATTTCTAAATATTTTTTAAAATATTGATTTTTCATCACAAAAATATTTATACTTAACTTTTTTATTAAGTATAAAAATCACTCATTATAATTGTAAGTACTTATATCACAAATTGTTTTAATATTTAAAACATTAAAGATGCTTTTTCAATATCAAAAAATTATAACCTAATTTAAAATATCTTTTTCTAGTTTTCTAGTTATTTATAATTAGAATATCTTGAAGCACTTTCAAATTATCTTACTATTATTTATTGGTAAAAAATATTATATTTTTTAATAATAAATAATTTAATCAATATTATAATTTTTTATAGAAAAAGATAACGAATTGTATTTAACAATTTGTTTACTTATTTATTAATATTATATTAATATTAATTAATATTATATTTTGTTTACTTATTTTGAAACAATTATGTTACATTTACTTAAATCAATTGTTAATTATTATGAAGTTAATTATTATTGAAATAAAAAAGTTAACTCTAAATTAGAAAACTAAAATTTTGGTGATTTTTAAAATAATATGTATAATAAATATAATAAATAATATGTGTAATAAAATAATATTACTGTACATCTTTTAAAAAATCATCGGATAAAATAAAAACGTGATCAAAATCTAGGGAAATCATAATCAAATCCATATATAAAATAGAAATCTATCTTTTATACATTAATTTATACTTGAATATTATTTATTATAATAAGAACATAAATAGAAATTATAAGAATAAATTTGAAAAAATCAAATTTTTGAATAGTTATATTTTTACATATATTTTTAAATTTAGACATGTAAAATTTAATTTTTTAATTATATAATATATCGAATTTCTCGATATGCTTTGAAGATAAAAGCACTAACATACATTAAATTTAAATAAAATTTGATAAAAATCCAATAAGTGTTACGTAACTAGCGAAAATCCGTAAAAATTTCTAATTTTGCATGAAAATTTTTAAAACACTCAATTTCAATAAATTTATTATTTTCGAAATCTATGTTATTTCGAACTTCTATCAAAATATATAAAAACATTTTAAAAAAAATTCAACAATTTAAATTTTTGAAACTAAAGTTTAATTCAATAGAATTAATAATAAAAGTTCATAAATACAGCTTGTTAAAAAATAATTGTAAAAAATAAAAATTAGTGCCATTTATATTATATAGTGATATAGTTAATTTCAATTTTAGTACCAATATTACGCTAGTGAATAACTGAAATTACAATATCTCAATCATGTGATATTTATTTTTTCAGGCATTTCCAATGTTTTAAGTAATTGAACGATATATAGATGGCATTATATATAACGGTTAGTTTGAAATGCTTAATTTTGAATTTTTATATATTAATATCTATAGTTAAAGAAATTTATATCGAATTTATTTCAAATTAAGTCAACATATTTAATTTAATAAATGATAATTACATTATGACAAAGTTTGGTTAAGATACATAACAATATTCATTCCAAACTGGTGACAATTTTTAATTGATAGAGTACACACGTTTATTTATAAATATTTACATTTAAATATTAATTATATTGGTATTATATATAAAATGAATATTATCTGTGTAATATGTAGTGATTTATTAGTACCTTCTGATGATGTTTTTTATACACCGTGTGGACATATTTTTCATTTTGCTTGTGTAACTCAATGGTTAGAAAGGTAAGAATCTAATAAATAAAATTTAATTTAAATTTTCATGAATGAATAAGATTTTTATTTACAATTAATAACAAATACTTAGGTCTTCTATATCTAAAAAAATATTCAATTATTATAAATTTATTATTATAAATTCTTTTTATGCAGATCCAAAACTTGTCCACATTGTAGAGAAAGGACTACACTTAATAAGATTCATAGAATATATTTTAATTTTGCCAATAGTGATGCTATTAGTGAAGATACGTATTCTTTACAAGATAAAATTGATAAATTAAATTTTCAACTTATGTTAAAAGAGAAAGATGTTAAACATTATACAGAAAAGATTGAAACATTAGAAAAACAAAAAAAAGGATTAAAACAAGAAGTAGGAAAAACAGAAAAAGAAATAAAAGAGAAAACCAGCACTATTTATGCTCTCAAAGAACAAATTAAATATTTTAAAGAGCAAAATTTAGAAATAGAAAAAATAAAAAAAGAAATGGATCAGTTACAAAAAAATGTTGAAAATTATAAAAAGTATGTGCAAATGTATAGTATTTCATTGTATCTAAATATTATTTAATAAATATATTTTTTGTTTAAGTATAAAAATCTTACTTGAAGCTTCAATAGAAGATGTAGATGAGATGATATCAAGAACAAATGATCCTAGTACATTGATTACATATATATCTGTGATGAAAAGGTAATTGAATATGATTTATATTTTACATATTTTAAAAAAATATTCCTTATTTTATATTTAAAATTTAGACAAATGACAATTAGTTTAAATAAAAGAAGAGAATTAAGGAGTAATCTAAGAAGTTTACAACAAGAACTTACTAAAGTCTCAATGGAACGAAATTCCTTATCTCAGGAACATAGCAAGAGAATGTATGTAAACTTTTTATTAATATTAAAAAAATTAATTTGATTAAAGAATTGGATTTATTATATGTTATTTATAGGAAACTCGAAGAAGATATAATGATTTGTGAAACTGAAAAAATTTGTTTACAAAATAAGCTTGCTAAAATGGAAGAAGAAATATCTTTAATGAAAAAATCAATAAATTCTAATTCAAAAACAGAAGATATATTAATTAATAATTCAAATAATGATATTAAACAAGATAAAATTGAAGATATAAATAATAAAACAAAAAGTAAAGAAAAAGATGTAAATTCAAAAGAGGAAAATCAGTCTATTACAGTAAAAATAATTTATTGTAATTTATTATACGTTCAAGTTGTTTTTATTATTCATATATATAATTTTTTTTCCAGAAAATTGAAATAGATTCCCCATATCTTCCAGTAAAATCAAGAGGAGTATTTACTTTAAAACAGCATACATTTCAGAAAAATAGTACAATAAAATTAAATTCTTCAATTCTTACAAAAAAACCAAGAATTCAAGAAACATACACTAAAAATGTAAGAATATATATAATAATTTTAAAAATAGTATATATTAGCAATATACGTATATTTTTTTTTTTTTACTTATTAAGATTATCAATTTAGGAAAATATAGAAATTAATAATATTGTGTATAATGGTTTGGGAGGACATTCAAAAATTGAACAATTTCCTCATCCTTCTAGAAGCAAAACAAAGAAAATAATAGATACTGGAAGTAAAGCTAAAAAATTAAAAATTGATTCAACTTATATTATTGATTAACAATAACATATTAATAATTTATAATATATATATTAATAAAACTTATGTAAATAGTATTTAAAAAGAATAAAAGAAGAGTTATATAGATTATAATATATTTCAAGTAAGTTGTTAAAAAATTATGAGCTATAAAAAAATATATAAAATATTATTACTATATATTTTTTAAATTAAAACATTTAATGTATAAACTTATATAATATTTTTATTACTGATGTAAATAAATTAAAAGAAATATATAATATGTTCAAAATTTGAACTTGACTTATAAAATTTCAATAAATAATTAATAAATTCTTATAAATAAATAGTACCTATAAGAAAAATCTTAAATATAAAACAAAAATTTATACATAAGATAATAATTTATTAATTTATTTATATTGTCATTTTTTGATTGTGCGAGACATCTCTTCGTAAACAAGATAGAATAAGAATTGACGATTGGCGCTATCTTTTGAATATTTTAAGAAGATAATTTTTTTAAAGAAATGTCTCGAAAAATGGCATTGATAGTCAATTCTTATTCTTTCTCTCTATTTTTTTTCTTATAGTTTGTTCTCCTTATTAATATATGTTTCATTTATGGCACTGATTTCACAATTTTCATTCTATATTTATTTTTCTTCTAATTATTTATCTATATTTAACTATATTTATGAGTTCGAAAAATAGTATTAATTTTTAATTATATTGTAATATTATAAAAAAAAAAGAAATGAAACTATTAATATTTTGTTAAAAAATTTGTATAAAAGACATGTATCTTCCATAAAAGAATTTCGATGTATATTAAACATTAATATTTAATATTTACGAGATCGATATCATTAATTCAAAAAATTTTTTTAAAAATATTTTTTATTTAAAAAAAATAAAAATAAGAAAAATGAAAAAAAGTTAATGAAAATATTCTTGTAAAAAATTTACTTGTAATCTATCAATAAATAGTAAAAATAACTAAATGAAATCATATAAAATTGAGATAAATCTGATGATAAATATTTCTTAATTTTTAAAAAAAAAAAAATCATTTTTCAAAGACTGCTATTAATAAAATATTTATAATATACTTAAATTCTAAATATTAAATTCTAATATATATATATTTAAATTTATAATATTTTGAAAAGTTTTTAATAAAATATTTTGTAATAAATTCTTTTAAATGTTTATAAAATATTTTGAAAATAGATTTCACGTTTTTTAAAACGTAATTTTTCGAATATACTGGTTAATTCAACATTTTTTTTGAATTTTTATTGTTAATTTATGTAATTAAATAATCATTTTATATATAATAATAATAATAATTGTGATAATTAATATATATTTTTACAAAATTAAATTAAAATTAAATTTGTTATTATATAATAGTTTTTGATTTATAATCATGTTAAAACGTTTTAACTATAACTTTATGCAAAAAATAGTTATAAAAATAAATATAATTTATAGATTTTTAGATTTTTATTTTTAATTCATGTATCTAATAACCATTGTAATGATAATATAAATATAATAATTGATTCAATCTTCGTTGGTAACATGATTTATATTTATATCTATATTTATGATCATATTTATATTATATTTTGAAATTTTATATAAATAGAATAATAATTTAAATAATAATTTTATAGAACATTTTATTTTATAATTATAACAATATTGAATATTAATTTAGAAATTATATTATATAAATAAATACTAATATAATTATATTACTAAATATATTATTAAATATATATTTTTTATGTTCCTAATGTTTAAGTTATAGTTTAAATTTCATTTTTGATCTAATTTCTACATTTCTGTAAATTTAGAAAGTAAATTAATCGATTATGCCAAAAGTATTTTATCATTCGTAGATAACTAATGGTACAACAGTTAATTATATTTGAAAAGAAGTTGATGATACTAAAAAAAGTTTTATCAAAAAATAAAAATTAAAGGATTTCATTCGCATTATTAATAAAAACAAGTTATTAAAATATATTAAATTATTATATAATATTAAATGATATTATATTTATATTAATTATTGCATTTATAAATAATTGCATTTATAATTAAAAATATTACATTAAAATTAATTACATTACATATTATGTGGAAATATTTTTTTGGATTGCAAATTCTAAACATATTTAATATCTAGCTGTTCCTAGAAGAAATTTACCATGCTATAACATATAAAAGATAATATAAAAGATTATAAAAATATAATAAATTTTTGTATATAATATATACTTACATCAGATATCTTTCTATTCATATGAACTTTGACAACTATTAAAATAATAATGGGACAAAATTAAATTTATAAGATTTTTTATATAAATTTACAATACCAAAACATGTTTTGAAAAATGAATTGAATTCATAATATAATTTTTTATATGCAATTATTTATATATTATATAAATATAATAAAATTTGATGATTCATTTGTATGTAACATTTTTTTTTAAAAACTAAAAAAGTTATACCACTTTTCTTTTGCCATCAATTCAGTTTCCAATATTTCATGCTGTTAATGATTTGGGATGCATTTGTGCGACTGTAATTTATATACAATAATAATATATCGATTTGTAATTATCGCATCACCTGTTGGAATAAATACTGCATGAATATAAATGTTATTTTTTATAGACTTCATGTATAGACTATGATGTGTTTACACGATTTTTTTATGTCTTTATTAATACTGTATTTTCATTTTGTTTGTTTATATAAATTTAAAAAATTAATGGTTAAATAATATAAGATATTAATATTAAATAATATATTTACTAACTTTTAAATTTTATTACTTTCTCAAATTCTTGATTATAACAAATGTAAAAAGAAATAAATGCAATTAATAATTACTAATCAATAAAAATACAATTATATTTTGAACAATGAAAAAGATAAATATATGTAAAAAAAATTGGTTTTTTAATATAAAAAAAATAATATTAACAAGAAATTAATAAAAAAATTCTTTTCTGAAAATTAAAGACAAAAATTTATAAATTTATTATAAAAATTATTATTATTTAAAAAGAATTGTTCTTTTAATTACGAAACCAGAAAACACGTTCGTTTTGTACAATTAATTTACACGTAATGCTAACGTCCTGCGCAGTTCAGACATTCTTTTTCAAAGTATCCATTCCCTCTTAATTACTATTCTTAATTACTATTTTATAAAGTTTCAGCACAGTTCATCTTAGTAATTCTTGTGATTGTTCTCGTGGTATTCCTTGTATGCTTCGTATCTTTTATAAGTATTCTTTGAGTGAGATGAACGCTTTCTTACCTCTTATCACAATTCACATGATTTCAATAGTGAAATACAATGTTTATTTCAAAGTATTCTATTGTTTTGCAAAAAATTCGAAAATTAACGACACAATTAAAGATAACAATAATTAAATGTGAGTGATGTTAAATCTCTCTCAATTAACAAGGAATAGAATTATATAAAATAATTGTATATATCATTCAATTTAATATAATTAGAATTTTATTTGAGAATAAAAGAAAAAAAGAATATTAATATTCTGATTTGAAAAAAATAAAATAATAATTATAAATAAATTTTTTAATGACAATGCAATGACATATCGATATGACATATAATATATAATAATAAACAAAATATAAAAAATATAGTTATCTAAATATAAATCAAAGTGTACAAATAATTAATGTTTTCTAAATAAATGTTTTATATATTTTTTATTCGTATACATATAATTAATTTTACACTTTTATATAATTATATCGAAAGAAATTTTTTATAGATTAATTTTAAATATATACTTTCGTGAAACAATTTTTTTCATTGATTGAATTCAATACATGAAAAAAATAAATTCAAAAATTAAATTCTATGCTTTTTATCTTTTTGATATTTTTCTCTATAAGACTCACAAAAGTATCAAAGTTATGATTGATATGAGCCGGTACGAATTAAAAATGGAAATAGCAGGTTGATTTCACGTGACAGAGATTAAGTGCGCAGCATATGTCCGTTAATCGGTCAAAAGAAAATCTGTTGGTAAAAAGGAAAGAAGGAAAAGAAAAGGTCGATGTCGAATGTGGAACGATCAAGTGAATACTACTTACTAAGGACCAATGTCCCATACGTATGAATGGGCAAACCTGAACACGGAGACTCATGCGCGCGCTTCGAAAATCAAAATCAATGTGGGTCCTCCCCTTAGAACTCCATACCGACCTTGCTCCGATTGCCCACGCCCTTAGTGTGCCTCGTACTTCCGTCGCGGACGCATCCCTCGTGCAATCATCGTCGTCTTTGCGTCCTCCTCTCTCCCTCACTCTACTCCTCTCTCTCTCTCTCTCTCTCTCTCTCTCTCTCTCTCTCTCTCTCTCTCTCTCTCTCTCTCTCTCTCTCTCTCTCTCTCTCTCTCTCTCTCTCTCTCTCTCTCTCTCTCTCTCTCTCTCTCTCTCTCTCTCTCTCTCTCTCTCTCTCTCTCTCTCTCTCTCTCTCTCTCTC